ATATTACGCGTGCTATTTTTAGTACTGAGATTTTTAGTACTGAGCAGCTTATATGCAAAAGTTATGTGAATGTATATACATTCATTTGCATACATTTTAAAATGTTTTACTTTTTTGTTAATTTTGTAACCAAATACTGTTTTCTAAACAAAACTATTATAATATTTTAAGACTATTTTTATGGAAGGCCACATTACCACCCATTTTTTTTTCGAGTCATTATGCAATGTCGCCACATTTTTATTAATAGTATCCTAAGTACCTAATAAATATTATCGTAACTTTGAGTCCAGAATCGATTCGACAACATTTTAATGAATGTAATTGTAAAGTTTTAAACTTAAATATTGATTATTAACAAAGTTATTGTGTAAAATGTAACTGGGGTGCCATAATACCACCTTCTCTCCTCTATCGTATCTTGGATACAAAGATATTTATTCACATATTTGTCTCTTCTCTTTTGTCGTATACTTTTTGGTAGCGAAAAGAACTCTGTCATGTCAGACATATTAAATAAATGTTAGACAGTACTCGCTGTACAGTTCGTATACTTGGCAATTTCAACTTCCGGGAAATGATGCTGCATGGGAAGGCAGTCGGCGAGGAAGGATCTATCTGGGGAACATAGTCTACCACACTTTATCTCCTTCTTATAAATGAAACAGGTTATTTATTATCCAATAAAGAGACACTCCTGGCACGCGGCACCCCGCTGGGTACTTTACGGGGGTGGCAACCCCTGACGTGTAAATATCGAGGTTTCACTGCGTCCCTCTCTGGAGACCACTGTACAGCGTTCCATCTTTTACACTAGTTTTCGACAGCACATATTCCACTTGCCGCATGAGAGAATCTCTAGTTAGAAGAAAGGAAAGAAGTCCTTGGTGGCCAATTTTTCGATCAATTATTTTAACATTCTGATCTCATGAGTTTATTTTATACGGTCCAATAAATTAGCGGTTAACATCTCGATGCTAAGTGTATTCATTATTCAAGTTATTTAGTAGAGAGTACTAATTATTATCTTGTTGAAAAACATAAGTTTGTAAAAGTACTTAATAAGAAATTCAATCTTTTATTTTGATATTTTCATATTTAGTAGTTCTTTTTATGTTGTTATAAAAAGCAACATTTTATATATCTACTCAAATGTATATATAATAATTTCATTTATACTTTTTACTGGTAATTTATTCTGGAAAAATCTCTTATAGGTATCACACAACGATACGATTAAATTTCGGTTTTTCTAAGTTTTGTACAGATCTTATCTTTCGGATGGATTGTCAGGTGCGCTTTTATGTACCGCGGCACAAATGAAAAATTGTTGTGAAGCTAAGCCATACGACAAAATGGCCTTCATTAAAACTTTGTACAGCTTTATGGAGGCGACTAGCCCGAGGTTGTTTTGCACATGGTAGTGAGCATGTTGCGTTGAGACCGGGCAACGAAGCGAGCTGATATAGCCTATGTAGATTGCGAGATATGAAAATCCGGGATTATCAAACGCTTTGCCTGCCAAGCATGAAAGACGCGACAATTTAATCACATACACTATAAAAAGATTCGCAAAGCAACCCGCTATGCGAAGTACGATCCCTTCGACTTTCTTGAAGTCATGATTTTCAAGGAACACATCCCGAGCATACGCTCGGTATCCACGCACACACGCGAAAACTTTTAACGAAGTTTACGAAACAGCTGATTGATTTTCTCTTAACTCGAGTTCGAGTTATCCTCGGAAACGTGCGACGCATCTTGATTATCGTTCCAGAGATTGACCGGAAACAGTATATATTATTTCTATCATCTTCGCAGATAATTAAAATAATAAAACTGACATACAACGTTATCACACTGATGTATAGTGAATCAGGATTTTTAATAAATTGAGATGTAACAGTAAATTGGAGTGGTCTTTGATCCATTTTACATTTTTACTTCAATTTATTCAAAATCCTGACGTGCTTTGCAAATTCTGTCCATAACATCACATTCTGCGCGTAAAAATCTTCGGGGTATGTATACTATGGTATTTTGTAAAAAGAAAAGAATTGACTTTGTCGAACAATGTAATTGGAGACACAGAGACTGTACAGGGTAGCGCACAAAATGTCATACTATTTAATTATCTCATTAAAACTATACTTGTGGAGTATTGGTTTTTTAATTGTGTGAATAAATTCTTGAGAGAGTTCGTGGAAATTCTGTTAGGTGTGGCATCACGAGTCCGAATTGAATGGAGGTAAAAACGCACGCACCTATAAAATGGCGGACAACGGACTTAAAATGTTGAGCATAAAGTGAAAGTTGTTTTTTTTGCGGAAATAAAGAATGTGACAGAAACTCGAAGATGTTTCATTTACATCGTGCAGATTTTTATCGAAAAGTAGTTAAAGGGCACGGCCTCTAAAAAGTTGTAAAATGATTATATTGAATGTTATCCATTAGAGACAATTTTCCAGGCTTTGGTGATTAATTAAGGATTAATTCCATACAAGTTTTGTACTAATTAAAAAAAAAATTAATGTGCATGTAAAGCAAGTATAGTGCACATTTTGTGCACCATCCTGTATTTCAAAAACTCTTCACCTCCGCCCAACTCCGACTGTGTGAGCAAATTTTATAATTTGTGGAAATTCTGTTAGGTGTGATGTCACACCTAACAGAATTTCCACGAAGTACAGAATTTGCTTATACAGTAAAAAAAAATCGATACTCTACAAGTATAGTTTTAACTAAATAATTACATGATACGGCATTTGTGCGCCACTCTAAGGGATGATACAGGTGATTAGAAGTAAGTTTACTAATTGATTTTAGGAATTGTTGTGGAATTATTAGAAAAATTCTACATGGCATATTTCAACTGGAATAAAATAGCAATTTAAGTCAGGAAAAAATGAAAGTAATTTTGCAAAATTTGAAATTTAAAAGAAAGTTATCGAGCATAAAGAAGAACTTTCTTTCGCAGCGAATTAATGACTGCAGTCCTTCGTAACCACGTCATTCGGGACTTGCGCTTGAAGGACATGCAGATCATCTCTTCGGGATTATTTCGTCACGGATACTTCGCTCTTCTTATTTCTTAATTGATCCTATTAAGACGTCTTTCAAACAAGTTAGATTTCACGCACCGATGCTTCTCACGAGATGTTCACTTTGGTTAAACGGTAACTTCCGTCGATTCTTCACGAAAGAATTTTCGTTGTATTCGACAGAATAATGCTTTTCGCCGAATCGTGCCGAGTTCTAGCAACTTCTGAATCCGTCGCGATCCTCGACCGAATTTTCTTAGAGGAAGACATGCAAGCTCCCTACTACTCGAATAGACTTCTTCGTCGTTCTCCTTGTATTCTTACTACTCAGACACACTCTTAGTATTTTCACGGATTGTGACTTATCCTCTACGGAAGCAACGCATACCTTCTACGCAATCCTCTTTCTCAGAGGCAGAGAAGCCAAGGTACAAGGCATCTCTGCATCTTAAGACGGCGAAAGGAATTTCGAAAAATTTGATAGCTATCTGTAACCAGGATCACGTCATAGCTTACGACGAAAAATTTCCATTTAATCGTGATCATCGATGTTGCATCTCTCTGAAAAATTTCGAGGAATGGCAAAATGATGTTTCACATAATTTTCCGTTGAATGTATTTATCGAACTTTACAAAGTATTATTTCGTCAAGAATAATTTCATCATCGTCACCCAAATCCACATATCGAAATAGATTTTCGTCAAGAATATATGTGTATGAAATATTGATTGAATCGTCTTTTTTTTCCGTGTTATCATACTAGCGTTGGATTTCCTCTTGGACTTTTATCCGCTTTTCTCATTCTGCTGTGTAACTCTTACACGAATCCTATCTCCGTATTTTTCTTCACCCTTGACGGTCCCTTATTGAGCTCTCGGAAGTAACCCCTACCGGGCCGTTATACCGCTACATCCAACCTTGGATCTTTCTTGGTATCTTAATATTTTCCGATACAGCTACATCTTGACGTTGAGCCAAAGTCGCGCGCAATATGTAATACATCCAATTTCTAGTTTTCTTTGGCCAATTCAACCAATTTCATTTAACGTCGCACTGTTGGAATATCTTACTACAGATACTATTCGATCGTAATATATGTTTATATATGTGAATATTTCAAAACGAAAACTATATATTCTAACGACAGATATTGGAAACCAATCGAAGAGCAAGTATCCATGTAAATTTAAGTACCTATGCCATAATATTTCTCTGCAGAGATAATATTTAATTTTTTATTAATTTTAGTTAATTAAAAGAACAGATTGATTCAAATTTGTTATATTATTTATAATGTAACAATAAAACCTCTAATAAGCAATTGAATTTATAATATTAAACAAGAATGTTGACTAATTATCTATTGGGTCGTAGTTTCGGGTAGTAGACAGTAAATGTATAAAAAATTTATTTAGTGACGATTCATAGCCGGAAATACTATTCCGAGAATGACGAACGCCATCAAATGCTAATGGATTCGGCCAGGGGTTATTCCGATCCATTATCTCGCTTGTAGAGCCTCAATCGCGCGGTCTGTTCAATTTATCCTTTTGTTTTCTTTCGCGTTCTGTTTTTTTTTTGAGCCGACTCACTCTTCTCTTCTACCATTCTTTTTCCTTAATTCTCCAATTGTTCGCGATCTATGATTCATTTAAGTAATTTCACACCGGTTTATATGTGACTGCCATAAAATCTTCAGTAATATTTAAAATCACAGAATAACAATTAATCTTATTATAATCAGTACGTAAGATATGAAGAAATAAATTAAGAACACAGTTGTTAGATTTTTGCGAGAAGGTAAAATTATTTTCTAGAAGTATCAATTAATATTTTTTTCAGAACACGATACTTCATGAGATTTAATAATATGAAAATATATATAATAATTAAATGTTAAATATATATAATTAATAAAGGATTAAATGTTATAAAAAGTATAATTTTGTTTGTTCCAGGCTTTGGCCAGGATATGCCAGTGCACATAATAATCTTGGAACTCTCACGATAGACGATCAAGCGGAATATCATTTTCTAGCAGCTATTAATGCTCAACCTGGCCACGTAAATGCTCATTATAATCTCGGACGATTGTACAGGTTAGTGAATGATAAACAACGCTAAATCTTCTCTCTGAGAAGGTGTATTTTATATATATATATATATAAAACATTGCGGATGAGCAATTATTAAAATGATTATCAACTGAGTCTAACCGTCGATACAATTCATGAATTATATGATCATCAATTAATTATAAGGAACCGTTGGTTGCTTCTTTCTATGTGATAAAAGTATCTCTCCATCTCCTAGTTCACCGTTATATCAACGGGTTATCGATCCAACGCGAGCCGCGTTTCCGACGGTAAATTTAGCATGAGCTGTAATTCCGGTGGCATGGTTAAAATTAAAGTTTAATTAACGTCTTCCTACTTGATAAATTAAAATTTAATTAAGGGCAGAAATAGGACACACAGTTGGCCGATGCGTGTATGCAACAATTTTCTGTTCATTGTGCGTAAATCGTGAAAACAGGCGATCTGATTTATTTCTCTTTCTGCCGAGAAATTTTGTTTAAAACCTACACATATCCGATGAAATATTTATGCGACGACTAATTAAATATTTTTGGTTTCTCATTAGCTTTTATATATGTATATTTTATTTATATCTTTTTTTTAATCTCTGATTACGTAAACAGTAGAAATTATAAAAACAAACATTGTTCTTGCTATTAATTTTTATTAAAAATATTTTACATAGTATAGACAAAAAGACTTTTGACAAAGAGACATTTAATTCGTTCTCTGTAACATTTAATTCGATATTTAACTAATTCAGTAATCGGCCATAATTATTTACTGTAATGATTTTCCACACTAATCTTATATTAGCATAGTATATCAATATAACATTTATATAATATAATATTAATACATATGAGAAACAATAATACGTTTTAATATGTTTTAGGCTGTTTTTATTATAATTTCGGTAGTATAATTTTATAATAATATTTGTGTGTTATATAATTTATTTTATATAATGTAGAGGAGAGGGTGGTATTATAACACCCCTTTCACATTTTGTACAATAACTTAGTTAATAATCATATTTAAATTTAACAATTACATTGTGAAAATGTTGTTCAATCGATTCTAGATAGACTCAAAGTTATGAAACATTTATTACTTAGGACGCTATTTATAAAAATGTGGCGACACTGCATAATGGCTCGAAAAGAAACAGGGATGATAATAGGTGGTAACAACACATTTAAACATATTTTCGTGTGATAATACATTCAAATTTAAGAAGAATGGGGAAGTATGTGTAATTAAATGCTGAAATGTACCTTAAAAACATTTCAAAATGCTTTAAAGTAAAATTGCGTTATAATAAATACTAACTATTGGCATATAGCGTCATGGTGTAATGGCGAGCTACTAAGCAAATAATTCCATAAATAATCATTAAAATTTGCCAGTTAATAACAGAGATATTAAGATGAGCGGTTATTATATCTACACTAGGCCATAATACCACCTTTTCTTCTATATTAATGTCATATTTGCGCATTAAATGAATTATATTACAATATTAATATGTAAGTTGAAATATGTGGAATGCGGTGCTACACATAAATATGTGTTACGCATGTGAAAAATCACACATAGGACATGTTATAATAAGCTAACTCTCTTTGAGATACGCTATCATAAGATGACTCTCTTTGAGATAGGGTAACAAGAAGCCTTTTCTTTTTAGTTGAACTTTTGCAGTTCATTTTTCTTCCTTTTCTCTCCAGGAGGGAAGAAGAGGAAGAAAGATGAACTGATGCAAAAGTTCAGATAAAAAGAACAGGCCTTATATGTGCGTGGACCGTGCAGTACATGCTTTTATTTCTGTTTCCGTGTTGATTACAGGAATGCGTGTTATCATTGCGAATGCATTATTCATGTTATTCACGTTATTTATAAAGAAAATGTAAAAAATACAAGATATTTGCTATTACTCTTGAAAATGTCCCGAATTTCGTTCAATTTCTATTACTTTTATTTTTTAAATATCATTAATGTGATATACAGAGTAATGGTTCCCAACTACAATATTTTCTCTAATATTTCTATTTGTATAATTTTTAAGAAAGTGAAAAGAATTAGAAACAAAAATTCTAGTAAGATATAATACAAATGTATATAAAGTATTTCAAGGACTTTAGGGAATAGTAGCTCTCACCAAAAAAACCAACTTTTGTTAAGGAACCTGTGTCTTTTCCCCAACGAATTTATAAAAAAACACATCCTTGTTTAAATTGGTAGTAAGATACGCAATCAATCGTGCGGCAGCATTGCGCGTGACATCTGACAATACTAGTCCATGTGTTTGCTTTTTTGTTGACTTTTTGCAAAAACAAAATTAAAGGAAGCGAACTATCATTGTCAGATGCACAATTAAACGCAAACCTCTTTAAAAATCTATCGGAAGATACAGGTTTCTTAATAAAAACTGATTCTTTTGATGCTCTACTATCCTTTGGAATTTGTCCTCGATGTCCTGAAAAAAAAACCATCCTCTTTATTACATATTTTAAAAATATACTTTTATTGCGCGCACTTGTATCCATTTTTATAAAACTGTAATCTTTTGTTTTCAAACATTTGCACATTGTATGACATATAAAATAATTCTCGCGATCTAGAATTGATTCATGTGAACATTAACAAATATAATGGCATAGGATATAATAAATGACAATGAAAAAACTTGCTTTGGAAATATTTTGAGATAATCTAAAATATATATCTAAGATAAATTAGACGTACAGACGGATGCGTTCACATGTGAATGCTCTTTTATCAATTAATATTTCTTTCCATTAAATGAAATAGTTGATGGATCGATAGTCGTAAAAAGCATCACTCGAGCTGTGGGCGTAAACAGTAAAAACGGTATTGTCGATCAGCATTATTGGCGTCGGCATTCTCTGACAATTACCGAGTCTTTTGTCGGCATAAAGTCGATTACATGAAAGCGCACGACTATAATTCAACCGGACGCGTTCGCGAAATTGCCGTTCAATTTGTACAGGAACGCCAAATTTATCGCGGTACCTTGCCCGTTGGTCTTTTTAACGTCGAGCCTTTACCAGCCTATCAACCTACTTTGAAATATGTAGCATTTTCATCGAACAATAAAGCAACACAAGCAAGAAATAAATATATCCATGACAGTAGTTAAAGCGGCGCACCCGACGGTATTGAGTAATTAAATTATTATTCGAACGATATGCATTTATAATTGATGCTAATTGGAATCGAATTGTTCGTTATTAATTAAGAATAATAAATGACAATCTTCGAATTACATTACGTTTCTTTACTTATTTATTACGTTCTATTAAAATTATTCGATTACTATTTATGTATCAATAATACGCTGGAAATTGACGTTTTAAAATATTATTTATTTGATTCCATATAGAAAACAGTTATAAAATTTATTATAATAGAATTAAATTAGTTAAAAATTTATATGTAAAAATTTATATACTAAAAGTTGTCCGTTTTAACCCAAGTAGTAAAGTGATGTCAAATGATATCTTGCCAGCGTCTTTATAACATCAATAAAACGTCATTAAAATGTCACTCTGCTATTTGGAAAATCTTATGTTTCGTAATGTCTAAACGTGTTTATATAAAATATTTCACATTCGCGAAATTTTGCTTTTAGAAGAACGAATCGAACTGAACAGTGTATTGAGATGTTGAGAAGATGCGTGTCGCTGGACCCAGCATACGCACCGGCATTTAGGGTTCTAGCGAGAATCGCTACCGGTCCTGCAACAGGCGAGCTCCTGAGGCACGTTATTCATCTTCAACCACGAAACCCGGACGCTCTCGCTGAGTATGCTTACTGGTTATACAAGAACGGTGAGTTGCTAAATGAAATAAGCTTAGAGTAGCAAGTGGAAGACCTTCAAATCCCGGGTAGGAGAAGCACTACTTGTCGACAAAAGTAGAACAATCTCGTCAGAGTTACCCGCTGTTACCAAGCAGTTCGCATGATCGCAACCCTAAATTTACACTCGCGGCACAAACTTGCTTCGTCTCTTTCAGGCAAATGGTTGCCCTCACTCCGATACTATTTCAAAGCGATGGAGATCTTTCCGTCGCACAAACCGTCGCTTATTGGTACGCTCAGGATTTTGAGGTCGCGAGGTCAGTGGTCTAGAGTACATCAGCTCATCATCAGGTGAGCATTTACATTCTATGTGTGCATGTGTATATCGCTGAACATACAAAGTCACCATTACAAATTAGAAAATTGCCTCGACCTACTCTATAGGATTATTATGAGAATAATAAGAGAATATAATGGGAAACTCTATAATGTTATTATTATGAGTACTCTATAAGATTACCTATTGAGAAGGCTGTACGAGAGTAGCATATCCACATGTTGCTTTCTTCCACGCATCCAATCATTCGCACAAAAACATTGAAATAGGTGAAAGAGTCACATTAAAGCCATTTCCCTGGATTACTTAAAATAGCGTCGAATATACACTCCGGAGAATATCGTCGCAATTTGGGTTGCGCAACGTAATGTCCGAATTTGTAATTTCCTCGGCAGCATTGCGAGATCGTGTACAAACACGGGCTTTTCCGCATGTTACGAATTCCGTGCATGCGACGAAGCGTGGCTCCGTCGCACGGAAATCCTTTCAATTTCAGATGGGCTTTACAGCATTGCGCGAATCGAGCGGCGGGCTTATTCGCGCGGCAAGTACTCGGTGACGTTAGCGCGCACGTCAATTCGCAATCAATGGACGAATTCAATTTTTTTCCGGCGATCTCTCTGAACTCGATCTTCGTTCCGCGTGGATTGATTAAAAATTCCACGTGATTTCCGTATTTCGTCGAGAAATATATCGAAGAATGAAATAAAAAAAATTAAAAAAAAAGAAAGAAAAAAAAACGAAAACAGATTCGATACTGTCTCGCGAGTTGATGCGATCGTTCTGTCTCGACGGTCGGGTTTGCCATCGGCCGTTTATGTACGCGGCACATCTACGTACACACGTAGATTATACGATAACGGGCGCACAAGCGGCTGGTCCTCGTGTTTTCGCTGTGACTGCCACCACCCCGTCGCGTCGCCCATTTTTCCACCCTCACACTGTAATCCTCCCGCGTCCCGCTGTGTGCAAATAGCGCCTATAAAACACGCACGGTAAATTTGCCAGCGACGATTCGCGCTGTTTTTGTAGTTGGTGTTCTCTCTCTCACTCTTACTCTCATTCACTTATCCTCTCTCTCTCTCTCTCTCTCTCTCTCTCTCTCTCTCTCTCTCTCTCTCTCTTTCTATTTCAACGGGCTTGCCAACAACGAAGTGCCGCGGCGAATCGTCGTCCGAACGTATACGAATTTTGCAGTGCCAGAGATAGGCACGTAGGCGTGGCCCAGGGGATGTAGAAGCAACGGGGCGAAAGGGGGTTAAATTTTGGAGAAACAACGCTCGGAGGCGCCGACGGACGGGCAGTCGAGCAGCGAACCATTCTCTCCCTCTCTCTTTTCCTCTGTGTTGCTACCACACGCGAAATTTCAATATGCATCGTTTGACAGATGTGGCGCATCGCTCGGATTTTAAATGCAAATATAAATCTCCCCGCAGCCCGTAACGGAATAGTGGGGTGAAGGGCATAAAGTATATAGTTGTGTATGGATGGCTAAAAGAAAACAGAAAAAAACTTTAGACAGTCCATTTTATATGAGATCTAGATAATTACCATTTTTATGAGTACTAAATAAATATAAAATAACAGATAAGTGTTTTGCTATCTGCAGGGACCGAGATCGAACCGAAATCAAAACCTAAATTTTGTAAAGTTTATAATACCGAAACTGTAACCGAACCGATAAAATTTTATGGTTTTTTTTCGATTTTTAATCTTTATCTTTGTTCTTAATTTTTGTTCTACCCGTTTCTTCGCCCAAATCACTAATGTTCAATTCAATATCACCGTCGCCAGCTCTCTTAACAACCGGAATGCAAATACGTCCAACACCTCATAATATATGATATAAGGAAAAATCTGGTGGAACCGCGAGACATATTTGATGTAAACTTTTTTTAACTCTCAACTACATGAGTGGGTCATTTGGACCCAGATGAAAATTTTAGTCGGCCGCAATTTTTGTACAGTTAATATTGCAGAGTTAAAATGAGAGGATAAAAAAACTTGGAATCTTTCTCTGTCGATCGCCGCGTTGCAATTGTTTCGTTGTTGTCTTGATGCTAATTGTGATACAATAAAAGTTTGGCTTGGGGGACTTGGATCTGTCAAATGTAAATTTGAGATTTTTGCCGAAAGTAGAAATTCATTTTTAATAAGTGCCTGCTTATTAGTGTTGTATTCAAGTATATGTGTTGTTTTCTTATAATTAAAACATATATTCATTGTCAAAAAAAGCATTTTTATGAGATAGGCGACTTGGCGAAACGTTCGCTTTATTTTCTCGGAGTTATAAAATCGCGAGTATAAATAATGTCAAAATCATTATACATTTAATATAAAATATTTTCATTGTATTAAAGAAGAAAATATCCGACATCATTATTCCGAGCATGTATGAAAATGCCCCCATTTTACTCGTGTGCAAATAATTGTACTTTTTGAAATGAATCAATATAATGTATTTTTTTTTCTTAAAGTCCATATTTTCCCCTTTTCAAAACACTACTTATTTTTATTTGTATCTTTTTTTATTATAAAGATATGATTTTTTTAAAAATTGATTATTGCACTCTTTTTACAAATTGTTCTTCACTTTTCTTTGACATAACTTTTTCAATTATTATCAAAACCTATTTATGTTTTGATATTTCGATTCTATACATTGTGGCATTTCATTAGAAAACAAAATATATTTTCTATTAAGATATGTGATAATTATACTGCCAGTCAAAACCGCCGTGACAGAACCTTGGACTCAGACATGTAAATTAATAGTCTAAAACGAGACATGTAGTTGAGGGTTAAGATACTAGCATTTTTTCATTTACATTTTTCTTACCAACATGTTGCAAGAATTTATTCTAAATCATGAAATTCAAGAATACATATGGAGATTTTATGTAATAAGTGAGATCTATTTATAAGAATAAAATAAGTTGTAAAAGAAAGGATCGAGAGAAATGTGTTTAAAATAATGTTTACATAATTTTTGTTCAAAGTCACGTGATCAGTTGACGCCTCTCTCCTATTAGGCTGTTAGAATGAATGGGTGAACACGCTCTCTCTCTTTCTCTCTTTCTCCTCCTTCTCCTCTTCCTCCTCCTCCTCCTCCTCCCTTTTCTTAATAGAATAAATTTAAAGAATAAATAGTATGAAGTGAGTAGATAGAATCGAAAAAAAATCGTCAAAAATCTATAATTTTTACGGTTTCGGTTTTCTTTACTAGTAAAAAAAAAAACAAAACTGAAACCGGAACATTTATTTGATATTTTATTAAACCGGAACCGGAACTAAACCGAAAAAACCTTTCGGTCTGGGTTCCTGGCTATCTGTTATATTTATATTCATTAAAATTTCGTACAATGACATATTTTACACGTAGACTTGCAAATGTCAATAGAAACATAACATAATTCAATGTAATTTCTTTATACAGGAGAATAGAACAATTATATTATATTTAATATCCTTACTGTTTGCGTTTTTTTTAGAGACCTCGATATATTCTGTAATTCTTAACGACGGTTCGTTATCGTTATATTGTCGTTGCATAGCTTTTTTTATTGTATATATAGATATATACAGGGTGATCCATTTTAATCTATCACTCCAAATATTTCCGTTCCCTTGCACTTTACAAGAAAATGTTTCAGACAAAAGTTGTATGGTTTTAAGGGGGCCATAAAATGATACCATTGGTTTGATTTTGGATAGTCGCTTAAAGGTCATATGAAGGTCACCTTCAATTTCTTAAATTAAACTCCCTATTTTTCATTACATATTCTTATAGCTTACCTCGAGAACTTTCCAAAACACTATAATAAAATATTTCTTCATTAAATATTTTTCGAGTTACAAGGCTCGAAAGTTACAGTACAGCCGGCATTAACATTACGCAAGTTGTCCGACCGACGGCTAAAACTTTTGAATGTTGTTTAAGATCATGTCCTAGATAACATTTGTCGTCTTAAAATAACCATATGGATACTGTCGTTAAGAGCTACAGAATAGGAGCCCAGATGAATAATTTGCGTTCTGTATATTTCTGTTTAAAAAGATATGTATAAAAGTATCATAAACTATGATATTTTATCACATTGATTAATTCGCCGTTCATTTTACGGGAGCACGATATTTTTAACTTACATATTATTGATAATGAACATACATCAATAAAAACGAGGAATTCACATTTATCGCTCAATGTATTTAATACTGTATAAATCTGCAGTTGTAGGAGAAATATATCATTCAGGATATTCTTATCCGTCAACATACGAGACGGAGTTTGAAAGGCATTTATTCAATCCGACGCGACGGTCACAAACAGCAGTACAGGGACCTTGTTTAATTATATTATTTCGAATGGCATCAGTCAACGGGAAACGTGTCGCAAACTTTTTATAGAGCGCGAGAGTTCTTCACGTTTCATTTATTTAAAGCCAAGCTGAAGCAAGTTCTCAATATTTCCGCTTTCTATTCCGTACGCGATGGTTGGATTAATTTCTCATAAATCGCCTGCGGTTTTCGTTGATTGGGTCACGGTTTCATTTGTGCCTCGCTCCGGGACACGCCGTTTCCGATCTGAAGTAATTAAGTGTCGCGATCGGCACGTAGCTCGATATCGAATATCTCGTTCCCGTTTGCTTTTATGGACGTACAATATGATATTGACATTGTCGAGAAAACCACCAACTGAACGTGTGACATATTACGATACGATACCCCATTTTTGGACAGTTGCGCTCTCTCTTTCTCTCTCTCTCTCTCTTCTCCCTCCCGCTTTTTCTCTTTCCTTCTCTCTTTCTCTCTTATCCTTCTCACTCTCAAATAGTTCAATGAAAATATATATTTGATGAAATATTTTATGTAAGTTCTGCAGATTTTTCTAATAAGTTAGATAAGAGTAATCACGTACCTACTTTCCTACAATAAAACATATTTAAAAACATGGATAGTTTTTAATTATAGAATTGTAGGATGCTAAAGTTTTCTTAGATAACATACACTTCTTTCACTTATATAGAATCTTGTTTTATTTTAATGAAATTATCTTAGTTTATTTAATGAAAAATTAAATTAATTTATTTTATATGATAGAACATTCCAGATATAATAAAAATTATATAATTTTTTCACATATGATTTATAATAACAGTAAGATTGGAAAAAAGTGCTATCTCAGTTCTTATGAAATATGCTATATCATTCGATTTGAAGTCATCGAGATGGATCATAGTTTCTTACGGAGATAAAGTCTAATAGTCTCTGGATGCAATTTTCTCGACCATTGACGGTCTTTCTACTACATTGTCGTTAACAATGGAGTTATGCCCCACAGGGTGTTCGTGCTTAGGGTGAACATTATTGAAAATATGAAGAATGACTCGATCGATTGCTATAATTAATTTTTTTTCATATTTTTTAGTTTAATTAACAAGTGAATAAAAAGTATAAAAAAAGTATTTTTATGAAAAGATAAGTTTATATTTAAATTTATTCATATCACGATATAAATATCTATTTATTTATTTTTACAACTAATAAATTTATAATGATATGCATTATGTTAATTTGATAATGGGATAAACATTTTATTTATACGCAAAAATCGTGTTCGCAACAACTTGTAAATGAAAATTGAAGATGGATATATTTAACACCTTATTTTTTGTAATTAGTTATTTATTTTATGGACAATCAATAGCTTTTTATAGTCAAATTAACAGCACAAATATTATTAAAACTACAATATATCTATTAATCAATAGAGAAGGCTATAACAACTGTTGAAAATACCGCTAATTATTGTTTCGTTTTAGAAGCGTATTTTCTCCATGAATGTGTTAAAATCGTTTGATCATGGCATGTGAAATCGCCTGGTACAAATGTTTTCTATTCAGTGCGTATCCATTTGATTTAAAGAATTATATAAATGCTCAGTTTCCAAAACATTTGGCTAAATTACTGTAAAATGCAAAGTCACGTGCAATGAGTGTCGAAAGTGTATATTTAATGTTTATATGAAAATAATTTTGAGATATAGTCTCATTTATTGTTTAAATTTACTTATTTGCCTATCATTAAATTATGCCGATTCAAATAATTTGAAACTCGGAGCGCGTGATGTGCGCGTCGGGATAAATATTTATTGACTCATTAATTAACGTGCAAAGATCGTAAAACTTTCATTCGACAAAATTATCTCATAATTGTAACTCCTGTTAAAACAAAACGAATATGTCCCAGCGCGCAGGCGAATCGTTTAATAACGTTTAAAATAAAGAAAAATATGAAAGTTAACCAATCATCGAATGGCTGACTACAGCAGAAGTTCGTCGAGCTATTCTCGTTTTTTTTATCAGACATATAAATTTAAAGAAAAGCCACGGCAGATAATGGTACGGACGCAGTGACGTCATCGCCGTTGCGTTCAGCGCTCAACGAACTGATAAATTGAGAATTTACCGATGCCTACCTGCCTATTCCCGTAGTTTTGATCAATAAAACGCAACGCGTTCATTCGCGCAAATATTTCTTTTTATCTTCGAAGTCATAAACATGAGATGAAAACGATTGTCTATGTCACCAATTTCGCCGGCAATCGCATTCTGCAACGACTCATCGTTATAGTTACGATCTCACGCAACTTTTAACAACAATTCGGCTACGAGAAAGAAATGTGCTCGTGCCGCAATAATTTTAGATCAACCTTCACCACTATCGTTTCCGGGATGCAGGATGCGATATTACCCCAGTGTTCCGACTCGCGCGCGACCGCTCGCAGCCGACATGGTCTCTATCTTCCGCTGTAAATAGCGATTTTATAATTCATGGTACGCCGTGTTTCATCCGGTCTATCGGTGAACCACCGAACGGCCGATATGACCGGTGGTAGCCGCGCGTTACCACTTCGTTACAACCACAGTTGAATTAGAGTTTATTTCACACGAATGTCCGTACGAGATAGAAGGGCTCGCGGTCGGCTTTAACAATACTCACCGCAAAACTTTAATTCTGCAAAACTTTAATCCTTAAATCTTCTAGTAAAATCATAATAGTGGTATTTGCGTAGCAGTGTTCATTTTTGCTAACAGGGCATAAGGTGTTGTATATATCAATATTGTAATATTTGTAGTAAAAAAATGGATTTGTTAAAATTGTAGATACTAGTTTAAATATTATAAAAGCCAACATTGATACCGTCATTTTTTGAACTTCTTTTATCAATACATTTTTTGTCTTTCCATTTTGATATTATTTAGATTGAATTGGTCATGTTGCTGCAACATGCATGTTGCAACAACATGACTATCTCCCAGTAGGACGTACGATCGATCACGAGCGATTTCAAACTGACCCGATGTGCTCGGAGACACGTGAGATTGCTAAGTCACGTTGCGATTACAGTCGGTTCGGACCAGCCGAACGTCAACGTTGTCGCTGGCGTGGGTCGATATCAGCATTGATACTGGATGAGGGGTGAAGCTATTCGATATACATAGGCACACGTTCGATTAACCGGTACGAAAACGCTGGTATTGTCAATGCTTCGAACCTGCTCTAACTGCGTCCGCGTAAATGTTACGGCCTTGATAACAATCAGGATTATTCGACTGACTGAATGTGCACTCGGGACAATATAGCGTTCACTTTGACATCAAGATTTATTCGCTTGCTTGAAAATTATTGAGTTACAATTATGCGATATATTATGTCTATGATGCACGTCGCATTGAAGCTATATTTTTCTACATTACATGAATTGTAACCCGTAATATTCGCAGTGCAATCGGTTTGCTGTACAAAAAGTACTTATGTAGATTTCACGGTTTTTCAAATAGAATCTTTAGTAGGGATGCACCGGATCATAAAATTACCAAATACCGGATATCGAATATCCGGTATCCGGTCGGATATCCGAGAGGGCAATTTCTTCGAGTTTAATATCCGACATTTTCCAGATTCCGGGAAAATATCTTTAAAAAAAAAACACCTATAAAGGAAAAAATTGGAATTTTGCAACAATGTATGAGAGAGTATGTATGAGAGAGTATAATAAAGTATCAACAATTTAATGATATCAAATTTCAACCGAATGTATTCCCGGATACTAACGATATCCGATTATCCGGTCGGATAGTAAAAAAGTGCCGGATAATATCGGATACCGGATACTTTTCGAATATCCGATGCATCCCTAATTTTTAGATCGATGATATTTCGATACTTAACGAGTTACAGACTAATTATAAAGCATGAATCGTTCTTTTTGTGAACTATAATCAAGAGTAAACGATTCTGAGGTAAAGAGAACAAAGTAGAACAAAACTAGAGCTACGTTATATTTTACAGAGACTATCGAGTGTGAAATGCTAGCGCCAAGTTTATAAGTCAAATATATATGTTGATACATATACGTAAGCTCGCAAATATTGGTATCATTCTCATCAATCAACTTTCCCTCTTTTACGCCTCATAAATACGATATTCGGGCGTGAGTGGAAAGATCATGGATGATAGAGCGCAAGTGACGCGTAAAAAAGGATATGTTACTTACGAATTTATTTTATGAAGGATGCCTTCGGATGTTGAATAATGATACTGAAACAACATCAGCGCAAAAATTTATGCTGAGGAAAATTTAAAACGTGCAAAGAGAGAAAGAGAAAGAGAGGGGAGAGAGAGAGAGAGAGATTCAATTTATAAAGAGGAAATAAATTTTTATTCTCTTCAGCAATTACATATCGATCATTTCTATAATTTAAGGAATGAATCTCTGTGAAGAACGCACGCTTTTACTCACGAGAGTATTTTACAGTTTGCTATGCAACACAATTTTACACAACCACGAAAGTAAACGAATATAAATTACGTGACACGCTATAACACTTGGAATTTTATTTTCCTCTTTGTTTCAGATGGCATTTAATGTTACGAGCGAAACGAGGAGGCTTCATCTATCGCGGGGACTTGTATATCCGTGCGTGGGAGTTACAAAGCGAGTCTCGTCAAAGGACTCATCAACATCAACGGAATCTCTGTATATCGGTTAGTAGTTTTGGTCATACGAGCATCACGTGTATAGTAGCAAAGTTTCGTGGATTTAGTTTGTCGTTTCTCATGCTGTCATCTACTATTTTAATGCAATAGTGCCTTTGTCTGTCTATCAAAGTGGATAATCTTAAAAGTTATTACTAGCACGATACGATTCGCGATTTTCCCTGCTACTATTTCTTTCGTTTCTACGAGACTGATTAAGATTCTTTGGTCATGCCGTGTCGTCATAATTCTGATTAAATGGATGTAGTTCCGTTTAGTCTCTTTCCTTCTGTCTTTCATCATTCCGGTCCCATTTCAACTTAGTTTTCTCGAGAACGACTTGTTCCATTCATTAAAGATTTAAGTACTTGCACATTTAGCCACACATTATCCTCTTACCATTTTGTCTGGATTAAATCGCTTTTGTGATAATCACATGCACACTAATAATAATCTTAAAGCTACCTTTTTGCTAGAACATTTATGAAGCTTCAGAAATGAGACCTTTCTGAAGTCACGCAAAAGAAAAATGAGGTCTTTTCTCTTTTTTGTTCAACGAATTTATACGTATCAAAGGAGGCACGCAAATAGACATATATTATACACATACTTTAAATTTTGACCACACACATATATAAATCATAAATCAAAATCAATTATAAATCGTAGTAACATGACAGAATTTGAAATATTTGGGTGCGCGCAAAAGTAACGTCAGCCATGACTAAAAGCATGACGTGCACAGTAAGTAAAATTTGCCAAAGCTACATAATTCTGAAATTGTATTTAGCTCAACTAGAAACTTCTGTGTTTAAACTGATATTCAGTATTAATATTCTCAAGTTCTCTCCTGCTACTCAAAAGCAATACTATTAATTAATTAATGTACTGTATCATTACTGTGTACCATTTAACTTTCACAGTTATGTGTCTTCAAATGTAACAATCGTTTAATATCGCGTTAATTTCGTATATCGATAACGCTCTTCGCATTCATCATCAACAATCGTGAGTGAGTTACTACGCGTAGCAGTTTAGCCCAGTTTACCCGTCCGTACAACGTACGCCGCGGTAATCTGTAAATCACGGAGAGATCGCAAATTTCGCTGGAGCATCGGCAATTGTCTGTTGTAGGAGAATGGATGTTCGAGGCCGCGCGTGGCCAGCGTGTCGGTGCAACTCGAACAAGACAGCAACAAGTCGGAACAGCTGCAACGGACGCCGCGTTGTAATGTGCGTGCTTGCAGGCAGCCAAGAAAAGGGAAGACGCGTGTAACCGCGCCCACCCTGCTCGTGCAGAATTTTCTGGAGACGCTTTAGTCCGCCCCGATTAGGGAACGGGTCTACCTCCTGCTCGTTCGCCAGTTGAAAACAGGCCGTGAAAGATGAAGGAAGAAGCGCGATAACTCCGACCGCGTAGCAGCCTCGTCCGACGATCGTCAGCGACGAAGAGAGTCCTATTATAGTGGAATGCCTGAATATTTTTCGTATGCTGTGTTTGTGTGCTATCTAGGACCGCAAGCCCGATCTGTCGCGGATCAATCACGATAACAAAATCTAAGAAGGTACGCATATATCGTTATCGTTTATATATATGTGTCCTCGCGTTCTTCGTGGCATCCTGTTTATCCTGTCGATCGGACAGCGACGATGCGAGTCGCGGTCTCTTCGAAAAAATAAAGTCGCTAAATAAAAAAAAAATAAAGAAACAGATGCCTGCTCCGTAGATAACTTTGGCTTCGAACGTGAATAAAGCGTTCTGAAATCGTTCGCCAGGACAAATGACAATGTGCGCTAATGGTGAGAATCGAATGCTAGAATTAAATTCCTTGAAAATTATTTTGCCACTTTTAAATTCAATATAAGAATATTTGACGAGAGAGGACCAAGGGAGATTCGAGCGATTAACTGTGTGCGACGAACGATTATAGCAAGTTGATTAAACGCGTACCTAATCAGATATGACATAGAGCCGTATGCGTTCAAGCGTGTATCTACCTATACTTTTGAAACGTGATAATTGTAATTGGTAATATAGTTACATGTAGTACGACGTGTTTCTATAAATATTTGCTGTATCTCGTGTGTGCTTTCAACGTTTTTACGATGTCCGTTTCGGTGCATCGATAAAGCTGCCGTTGTGTATGTAATACCAGAAAGACGAAGTATTTCAACAGTATAAAAAATTGAGGATTGCATTTGTGAAAAATATCTCGACAAAAAAATTTCATTCGACAAGTTAGCGAAACTACAATCATCTCAAAAATACTTAATATGAATGGTTACCATCATATTAAAAATAAATCGACCTTGTTCTTAAAGAGTCTATACGCATAAACATTTATAATTTTCGTTACCAACAAATATATGCACATACATACATATACTGTAAAAAATAAAATGTTAACTTTAACTTAAAGACATATAATGGACTTTCTGAGACATGCAAAAATGTTAAAATTAACACAAAAATATTAATTTTAACACTTTTGCATTTCTCAGAAAGTCCACTATACGTCATTAAGTTAAAATTAACATTTAATTTTTTACCGTGTATATACACAATCATTCTTTGAGATATAATATTTTTTTGTACGCCGAAGAAGGAAGCTGTACACGAAAAATGAAATTATGGTGAATTTTATCTTTTTCATAATAAAATGACAATAGCACAATGCATGAGAAGAGAATACGTATATACTTTTGAGACTCTTTTTCTCGGATCATACTTTGTGTTCCTCTCTCGTAGATACGCAATTTTATGCACGTAAATACACGGTGCCAATACTAGGGTAATGAATGTGCCGCTAATCTGTGGCGTTTGGTATGGCTTTTGTATGAAAATTAAAGAAACAAATAATTTTAAAGAAATACATTCTTCGATGAGCTTGGTACGGCAATGTTCTATTGCAAGTATATCGTAAAAAAGATTTCTATGAAAGCTTTTTTCAATATTTCTGAAAAAGGGAGAGAGAGAGAGAGAGAGAGAGAGAGAGAGAGAGAGATTATTTCTGTAGTATTTTTTATATTGATTAAATATTAATATAAAAATTATATTATTACTTTGACTCTCTGTAATACTGAAATTAAATAAAAGATTTAAATAAAATATTGCTGCAAACATTTAAAATAATTTGGAAAATTAAATCAATTTTCTTTTGATTAATAATTCATCGTGTAATGTAGCAAAATAAATAAAATGTAATCGGTTAATATTATTATACAATATTATTATACAATGTGACGGATTTAACTTGTATGTTATTTTACGAATACTTGCAAAACTTTGTCAAAACGTAATAGAAGACCAATGTATATACCTGTATACAGAAAAGAAATGTTACATCGAAAATTTTGTCGATGCTTATTAAACTTCTCTACTATAAATTATTGTCATGTAATATCGTTATAACAAACTCGAGTAAATAAATTTTGGCCATCCGGATACAACGGCCTGTGGTATTTCGCAGAACGCTGCGAATAGTGGGAAAAATGCAACGAAACGAGAGTAAGATCTAAACTATAATGGTATATGGAAATGGTAATGCATATGTATGAAGTTACATTTTTAGTTACTATATTTTTCTGTCTGCGACTCTTGTTTGTTATTTGCAGCTCGAATATCTTTATTCCAGTATTTTATTCTGTGATAAACATTAAATAGAATATATTAATTTTTTTGTTTTAATTTGTATGTAATATCAGTTACAATATATGAATTATATTTATTTAATACTATTAAATTCTATGTAGATGAGTATATATATATATATATAAATTTCATTATATTATCCTATATTAATAATCAATTAATTAAAATTGGAAAAAAATTTACTTAATAAAAACGTTAACATAATCTATAAATTATGCGTTAATCGGCCAGCGTCAATCAGAGTTGCATAAATTTTGCGCAAGCATAATACTATCATTACAATTAAGAGATGAGGAATCAAGCTTTCTCCTCGTAGAAATCATATGGATGAAGCTATTAAAATAAGAAGTCATAGGAGAGTTGCTCATTAGCTAAGGTAAGAAATAAAATACGTGGAAGCTAATACATTTAATACAAGGTATGGAAGTGAGCTGAGTATTCTATTTTTCGTACGTTTAAGCCTTAGGCGTTTCTCCAATTTTAATGAAAAATAAGCATTTAGCATCACTACATTTCATTATGAATTCCATGAGATAGCATAGTTGCATATATAAAAATTACATTACTCGTGACAGATACGTCTATTCTGCTATATTAGTGAAGACAATTTTGTGATATTACGTAATGGTAATTAAACGTTGAAAAGATTCGACGGTTAAAAATAATTTGCAATTCATATAGCTGCAGGAATTGAGCCCCGTACTTTCTATGTAAATGTCAGTAAATATAATTCGATATATATTACAATACATATTTTGTTTTATTCTAGCAATCTTTTTTTTATCAGGACGTTTGGCCGATCGACAAATCCAACAGCCAATTATTTTAAACAGTGTTATTATCAAACGGAACTAACGGGTGAAATAATTAACATTATCGATCCGTTTAATAGCACAGACGAAAGAACATTTTTAAAAAGGTGTAAAATTGGAAAATTCGCAATATTGAAGTGCGAAAGTTTGGCATCAGAAATTGGACGTGGGGCCGTGTATAATTAGCCGCAATTTGATTAGTCTAGGTTACTACTCGATAGACCAGTTTGTATATCTAATTACGATACGTTATTACTCATACTCATTGTGAATAATACAGCAATTATAAATTATCATAATAAAGTGTATGTTTATATACATATATCCATGTATGTTTGATTTATGTGCTGGTATTCGACAATATTGGCGATTCCAGACTACCCATACCTAATCAATTATCCAGTTTTCCCTCGTTTAATTATGGTCGTCCGGCCAAAATTGCGGTCTCGTCGACCAAGCTACGGCAAATTTACAGATCGCCCTTCCTCCCACAAGCATGGCAAGAATAGGTCGACAAACTTTAGCCGGAACTAACATGATAGCACGGCCATAATTTTCATTAAGTGTGTAATGTGCATTTGTTACTGCAATTGCAATAATTTATCGCAATTACGGATATGTATTTACCGGAAGATCATTTATTTAGTATCGTCAACCCGGTGCATTTGCTTAAATTGCAAGAATCATGTAAAATTGCATTCATTTCTGTGCCATGCAAATATTCCAATTTAAACGAATTTTGTCCGATGTTGATTATTTAAATAAACTTTTTGTTTTTAAATACCTAGATGTTTTGTTTTAGAGTAATAAATTTATCTGCGCATACATAGACTTTTCTATATCAATGAAACGCGAGTCGACGTTGAAGGACCGACTGAGATAAATAATCGTACGTGATTCTTTTCATTTTGTGAACAAATACATGCACGCGCATAACTGGCACACACCTGAGCAAATCTACCAAGCCGCGCGCAGGTGGTTTTGAAGAGTCGCTGGCATTATGTTCGGCTCACAATGAGCGCGTACTAACACTCTCACTCTATAGTCAGCAACGCCTGGAAATAATGGAGCCCGCCGCAATGCAGAATTTCGGTGCCCCGGTAAGTATCGTGTAATTTTAACGGTAATTGCCGGCGGTTTAAACGCGTCACAATTGAAATAACCCTTATACAACACCACTACTATAGAATGTCGATATAAAGGGTGTGTAAATAAAAATGGGAATTTCGAATTTTATATTGTTATATAGCAGTTTATTTTTGTATGTCGCAGCAAACAAGACAAAGCGTTATTTGTCAATTTTGACGTCAAAATAACGACAAATAATATTAGCTGAAAGGCTTCGTCACCACGTCATTTTATCAGAAAACGTTATTTACCTACATAATAACAATTTCGAATTATCAGAATATTTTTACGTCTAGAAACTTCCTAGGTATGCGACCTCGGTCTCGATTTTCTAAAAAGGGTTATATGCTGCATTTCAGTCACGTACAGCTAGCAAATTGCTTTTCACTGAGATCTTTGAACTTGTACAAAATTCTTCTTTTATCATAACGTTCTTTCGTACCATTAAAAGCGCTAGAGAATCACTCGCCGATTCTATGGTCAGCGACAGCTATTCCTTTCCTGTAGTTTAAGTTCGCGCTATTGACTTTTACGATTCTATATCTCACGTCTATGTAACAAGAAAGCGAAAGCATTTTATAAACGCATTGTACGCCGAGCCGCGCGTGTGCGGTTTGATTTACATTGTGCGAAAGTCGGCTATCACGTTTTCGATAGGCGGATTTACCGATAATAGCAGATGGATCTGCATGATCCGGGAACCAAGTGGGAATACGAATCCGGACATTATCCTGGCGCACCGTGACGGCTCGCTAACGTAAAACGGATGCATGTACGTCCCGCTGCATCGAGTGCGGTTACGTGATCCGTATATTCGCTCCAACGACCCGGGATACAAAGGTCACGCCTTCCTCCGTGCCTAATGACCCTTAACCTCTGTCCTGAAGCCTGGGATCTTTTAAACGTTGACATGTGACGCTTAACGGCAGTTTGATGCAGCCGACAGCTAACATCGTGAGATCCGACTTGCGTATTATTATGAAAGACAATAGCCGCCGGGCCGCGTAGAGGCGGGGTCCAATGTCGGATATTATAATTTCGATTCCCCAATATTCGCGCTGACCATTAACGTCATCGATACCCCGAGATCATCGGCGAAGCTGATTAAACCATTTTCGATGTACACCTGCATTATTTACGCGCAGGCTCGCGCAAAATCCTTGACCAACTATGCCACGTCGATCTATTATCTTCGTGTAAAGAGGATTTACGTACGAATACAATCGGCTGGTTAAATTAACGATCCCGTACTTTCCATCCCGCCGCCGCCATCATGCATAGCCATGATGCATCGTCGTTACGATAAAACTCTCCTGGGAGGCATGCACGAGCGTTCGGATAAAGCACCGAGATATTAAATTGCGACCGCGTCCGGACGCTTATTTTTATCTATTCTATGAAATCTCCGTCCGGATCGCGGCGTATTAGACTCATGTAGGGACAAGTTGCCCATATTGGCCGAGAAGAAGGAATCAGTGACACGAAAAAAGCGTGGATGTCGACACATATCTTGTACCCACGTGTTACGTTATTTCCCTTCTTTTTTTATTAACGTAACGTTTCTACGTATATCGAATACGCACGTTATTTGTCGAGATTACTATATGCCCTTCGAAGATTTCTATTCCCTTAAGACCGTTTTATCCCTACATTCAGTACATTCCTTACTGCCGGGCGGTGAAATGGATGAGAGGGTGACCAACCTGAACGAC